AGTTTCAGCCCCCCAGCTTTCCTGGTTGCCGAGTTGAAAGTGGGTGACAAAATGCATTCGCTTTGCACGTGCACACACACACAGGCAGCCTCTCGACAATATGCGTTTTCGCTGGCTGTAGCAGCGCTATAGCAAAAACGCATAAAAACGAAAATTGTCGAGAGGTTGTCGATTTATCTTCGTATGTGTGCGTTCGGATTTTGTCATCCACACACGATTCAGCATCCACGGGGACTAGGAAGCTGGGATTTCACAAGAACGTTTTTAGACCGTATGTTATCCGAACAACTTGAAATCAGCTTTCACGTGCGTCTGGGTCCTATGTACGAAAGCTTAAAAGAGCATGTAAATTTTTGGCGGGAAGCGATTTTGGAAACCAGACAAGATAGCAGTCTGAGCGTGTTGTTCACTGACAATGTGTGATCAACAAATTTCAAATTCAGCTTTCATGTACGCCCATGTGTGCATATCTATACGCTGTTAGGAGCCAAAAGATAGGTAAATGAAGTGAAGATGGACCGGACTGGTCAGGGAGCAGTATCTTTGTGAGAATGTTTGTTGTTCATGTGCGGACCACCAAGCACAAAATAAGCTTCTGCCTAGGCATGAGCCACATGTAGGCATGAACCACATTAAATTTTCGAATTTTAACGCCGCACTCAAACTCCAACAGTGCGAGCGATTTCTCCACAATAATGCAAGCGTGCAAAAACACATGATCACAGCGGCAAGCGTGATGCGTCGACAACCAGCGCTGAAACTGCTAAATCTGTTTTGTTCCAGAATGATTTTAAGAAATACTCTGTTGATACGAATATTGATAGCGGCAGTGGAGGTACATTGCTTGGACGCTCAAGACGATAGAGGTTTTGGAGAAAATAATCCTGATAAAACACTGTCTACTGTTACAAGCAGTCCAGTACCACTTCAAAGGTCACCAGTGCCACCCAGAAGGCCAGTTTTGTCCGCGCCAATGCAGAAAGATGCAATAGCAAATGCAAAACACACACTGCAAACATATTCCATCGCCAGATCACCGTTGATACTAGCAAAGTCACTGGAGAGTGATGCTGCAAATTCTGCAGCTATGTCGAAAGTAGACACTGAAACAGAAGCGTTTTCCTCACACAATTTTAATCCAACTACTCCACAGACTCAGGAAACTCATCTGGCATTTTCGCATCAACCTGGCATCGCTACAAATTCTACAGTAAGAGCTGTTTCTGGTTTCGCGCAACTACCGCTGCAAACGACCGAAATACCACAAAAAATCAGTACAGATGCAAAAAATTTGGATTTCCAGCCGACTTCTGCTACTATTTTGAAGCTGCTGCCTGACTCTCCAAGTTCAGACGGCATTTCTCATGTGGCACAGCAAAGCAACGGTTTCGAAGATGATGCTGAGCAGCTTAGCGAGGAGGACTATGGAAGTAATTCCGAATCTGTAAGTGCTTTTGGAGGAGAACAACATAATTTCTTTTTCAAACCTGGGCGAAAACTGATAATTTAAAGTAAATTATAGGTGAAGCCAGATGCTGTTGATAATGAGGCCATTGAGGAACTGGTAAATCGGTTTTTAAACAGCGATACAATGGAGGGTGGAGTGGAGCAGAAGCTGAATAAGGAAGTCCAGAAGCTGATTAATTCAAGCAGTTATTGGAATACGAATAACTTGCAGGTTTGCACTTCCATATTTTCTAGTTCTTTGTTTTATCGCTGTATCAATACTTGCCCATTTGCTAGATAAGTGTGTTCTAAATGAATGAAAATCCTACCGTCTGTCTTGCTGCAGTCGTAACTGACACTTATTGAATGCTCCAGTGAAAAAGCTTCACCAAAACATTTTAGCGGCATCGACAGGACTAGATTCTCTACCTTACTGCTCAAGTAGCCTAGGCATCCTTGAAAGTAACCGAAAAATGGAATGGAATGGGCTGTTGACATGGCACTATCATTCGGCTTTCGTCCATGGCCCATCTGCGTCTCATAATAGGAGAATCATAAAGGTACCGTTAACTTTGGGTTTCGGTGTCTGATCAGATAGCGATAGTCCTTTCATGTGCATGGAAGTTTTTTTTAGCCAGACGGTTCGATAAAGGAAGAAACTAAAGCGCAGGAGTGGATGGATGGATATGCAGTTGAGGCGCAAAAGGTGTTACACGAGGTTGCTGACGCTGGATGGAACTATGTCACATCAGTGTCGCATCTAACCAAGCAGCTACTTGATGAAGCTGAAGAGGTCTCTTTATTTTCCCGCAGCTTTCTGATATTTCCTCTCCCTGTTTTTTCAGTGACGTCTTCAGTAGAAGCATCGCACTAGATTTAATGCATATTGTGCTGCTAGGAATTGCTGCGGCACTACGATTGACCCAGAGGCTTGAAAACTTTGTCTGAGCTGTAGCTTCAATATTTAATCAGTTTATAGACTCTGACAAAATTCGTAAAAGCAAGTTCGAGGCAAGCCAAGCAGTTTGATATTCGATCAATTGGGAACCCATCCCTGAAGCGACAATTTGAACTTCTTCTCGTTGAGGGTGTCGGTGCACTGGATGAAGGCGATTTTGACGAATACAACGACGCTCAAAAACTGGTCAGATAGTCAATTATCTTCTGTACATTCATTTCAAAAAAATTGTTTTTCTTACCCGATTTCACAGTGAAGACGCAAAATTTCGTCTTATACTAAGACAACTGGAAAACAAGAAACCAGATTATCACGTGTGTGGACAAATAGATGAATGCCAGTTTCCAATTTTCAATGCTTTTTTTGAGCAATTTTTTGATAGAAAGATTCTTTGAAGCATTTTCACATTTTAGTATAAAATGATCCTTTAAATTGGTTTTTCTCAAAAATTATACAAATATTTGCACCTTTTCTACCTTTTTCGCGTTCTCCACGTTACTGGCATTCACTTGTTAAATGACTGGCTTGCGCAGAGCAGTGCCAGTACGTTATCTGTGCAGTGAGCTGACTATGGTCTTTTTTTTGAACTTTTTTTTGTATAGAACGATTCTTTGAAGCATTTCCACATTTTTACATTCATTTTTCTTCATATTTATGAGAAATCCAGCTCAGTGTTGCCTTATTTTAGATAGCAAAAAGCTATGCCGAAACCTCGGTTTGTGAGATGGGCAGCACAACAATCTGCCCATACAGGTTAATTACATTTTTTGTGTTTGTTTCCAATCAGTGCAAAATAAGAATTATGGCAATTAGAGCGCTGTCGGTGTTCTGTCTGACCAAATGATTTAGCTCTTAAAAAAGCATTCCAGAAGTTCGAACATCTCGGTCTTAGTATTAATACATTCATTGTTTAGTTGTACTTTCTAAAATTACTGCAAATTCTGAATTAAGGCTTTACGAAAACCCCGTGAACTCACTGCAGCTTGAGAATTCAGGCTTAGGAAAGTGGCGTACGTAAGAGAATTGGATCTTTTAATATTGACCCTCTCGCCTCTTCGCATTGGTCACAACTGTATGAAGAGCTGAACCAGGCTTGAACATCAAGGAGTTTATCGAAGTAGGGACTTAAAAATACCCAGATGTAACACAATCAAATGTAGAATTGCTGAAGACCGTGTTGCTTGGTGAAAAAAAAGCAGTACTAATATAATAAGTATAAAATTTTGCCACGGACGCAGATCGCAACCTTTTTATTTCGCTCGGCTCTAAACTCTCCTTAATCCACGATTCCAGAAAGAACCA